CCACCCACTGTGGGTGAACAGACCCCCCCTCAACCTCCCACCCCCTCCCAGGGGCACCCACATCCCCTCAGGGACACCAAGTGACACCAGGTGACACCACAGGACACGGCTCCGGGGACATTTACTGACCTCGAGGGTCCCAAAGCAGGGGACAAAGCGCGGCGGGAGCCCCACCCGGGGGGTCCCCACCTCCCTTCCCCAGCGCGGGGGGCTCGGGGGGAGCAGGAATCCACCCCCCGGAGCTGCACTTTGGGCTGGGGGGGACACCAGGGGTGGGGTCCCCCCTTTGCCCTCCCTGGGGGGCTCAAGCAGAAGCGCTGGGGGGGGTGGGGGGGTCGGTGCCGTGCCACCGGTAGCACCAAGTGGGGGGACACTGTGGGGGGACACTGGGGTGTCCCCCTTCCTGCCCCCCCGCACCGGGGGGGGGCCCTGCCCGTCCTGGCACGGCGGCGGGCGCGGGGTTGGGGGGCACGTGGGAGGCTCCTCACGGCCCTCGGGGGCGGGTGACGATGCGATAGGGGGGCTGGGCACTGCCACGCCTCCCGCGGGGCACCCCCGGCGTCCCCGTGCCCGGGGGGGCACTGCCCGAGCCCGGCTCTGGCTCTGCGGGAGGAAAGGAGAGGGAGTGTCAGGTGGGGGACACCGAACCCCCCAAAAAAACTGACCCACAGCGAGGATCTGCCGCCCCACAGATATAGGGTTTGTGCCCTCTTTGCCCCGGGAGTCCCCAAATCCCCGGGGGCACCCACACGGGGCCCCCCCGGCTGGCAGCCCTGCCTGGCACCCCCGGCTGGCACCCCAAAAGCCGGGGTTTCCCTGCGGGAAAGCGCAGCTGGGAAGGGGAGGGGGAGAGGGAGGAGGATGGGGGGCACCCGCTGCCCCCCAGCTGGGCATGGGGTAGCAGGGGGGGCTGGCACCGGGGTATCCCCCGGGACAAGGGGGGCTCCGGGAGCTGCTTCGGTCCAAGAGGGTGCCCGTGGCCCCCTCTGACCTTGGGGGGCTCCTTGGATCTCCCATGGCTTGAGGGGGGCTCCGTGGTCTCCCTTGGGAGACCCTTCCCCAGGAACACCCTGGAGTCTCGGGGAGCTCCAGGGTCTCTCCTGGTCCTAAAGGGGCTCCATGGTCTCCTGTGGGTTGAGAGGGGCTCCGAGGTCTCCCTTGAGCCTCGGGGAGTTCCAGGGTTTCTCCTGCTCTGAAAGGGTCTCCATGGTTACCTCTCTAAATCCAAGAGTGTCCCCATGGTCTCCTTTGGATTGAGAGGGTCTCCATGGTCTCCCTTGGGAGACTCTTCCCCAGGAACTCCCTTCAGCCCTGGGGAGCTCCAGGGTCTCTCCTGGTCCAAAAAGTCTCCGTGGTCACCTCTCTCAATCCAAGAGAGTCTCCATGGTCTCCTTTGAGCCTCCCTTGATTTGAGAGGGTCTCCATGATCTTTCTTGGGAGACTCTTCCCCAGGGACTCCCTTGAACCTTGGGGAGCTCCAGGGTTTCTCCTGGTCCAAAAGGGTCTCTTCATGGTCACCTCTCTCCACCCAAGAGGGTCTCCATGGTCTCCTGTGGATTGAGAGGGGCTCTTCGGTCTCCCCTGAGCCTCGGGGAGCTCCAGGGTTTCTCCTGGTCCAAGCGGGTCTCCATGGTCGCCTCTCTCAATCCAAGAGGATCCCCATGGTCTCCCTTGGTTTGAGAGGGGCTCCAGAGTTTCCCTTGGCCCTGGGGGGTTCCAGGGGTTCCCTTGACCCAGGAGGATCCCTTCATGGTCTCCCTTGAATTGAGCCCCTGGAGAGGGGCTCCAGGGACTCCCTTAAACCTTGGGCAGCTCCAGAGTTCCCCGTGGTCCAAAAGGGTCTCCATGGTCACCTCTCTCAATCCAAGAGTGTCTTGAGGGGGGCTCCGTAGTCTCCCTAGAACCTTGGGAAGCTCCAGGGTTTCTCCTGGCCCAAGGGGGTTTCCATTCCATGGTTGTGTCTCTCAATCCAAGAGGGTCCCTGTGGTCTCCCTTGGGGTTCCCTTGACCCAGGAGAGACTCAGTGGTCTCCCTTGCTTTGAGAGGGGCTCCATGAGGGGGGCTCCATAGTCTTCCTAGAACCTTGGGAAGCTCCAGGGAGGCTCCCTCAGTTTAAGAGGGTCTCCCTTGCTTTGAGAGGGGTTCCAGGGGCTCCCCTGGTCCAAGGAACTCCAGGGCTTCCCCTGGCCCAAGAGGGTCTCCACAGTCACTTCCCTTGGTTCCCAGGGGTCTCCATGGTCTCCCTTGGTTTGAGAAGGGCTCCATCGTGTCTCTTAACCTTGGGGAGCTCCAGGATTTCCCTTGGTCCAAGAGGACCTCCACGGGTGTTTCTCAGTCCAAGAGGGGGTCCATGGTCTCCCTTGAACCTTGGGGAGCTCCAGGGTTTCCCTTGACCCTGGGGGGCTCCCTTGGCCCAAGAGGGTCTCTGTGGACTCCCTTGGTCCTGAGGAGCTCTCTTGGTGCAGGAGAATCTCCATGGATGC